ATTCATTCGCTTTCATTGTGAAAAGCATTAGAAATGATTAGTTTTTCTAAATATTTGCCAAAATATTTCGTTAATAACCTCTTTATTACAGATAAGAATTCAAATAATTTATTTATAGATTATATTTTTGTGCATATATTTCCTTTAGTTATTAAGATTGTCATTACTATACCTTATTACCTAAATATTACATAGTTTAATAACGTTAATTACAGACATTTTAGAAAATAACATGATGCCAATTTTTATTTTAAATTAAAAAAGTTTTTAGTTTGAAATATTTCATTTCTAAACGCTTTATGTTTTGTGTTTTAATTAAATGTTAAATTTCTAATTCTGTTTTCGCATAAATTTTTATAACAGCACTTATTATGCATTGAATTTATTACGATATTTCATTACTTTACATTTTATGCCAACATTTTATTATTTTTTAATTGAATTAAATCAATACTTATTTAATAAATTTAACATTTATTTAGAATTGAAATGATTTATAAGATATCATTAAGAAACCATAATTTAATTATTAATTCATTTATTTGATTTGAAAAGCGTTTATTGAATTAAAATCAACTAAAATGAACCCAATTTATGATTATAAGCAATTGGTATATAAGTTAGAGTAGTATGGTTTAAATGTTAATTGTTTTCAAGTCATGTTCAATTATAGTTTAAATTTTTCGTCTTATAAGTTATAACTAACTATAGTTGTATTGATTGAAAAATTAATGCATAATTTAAGTTATTAATCGAGTGATAACTTTAAAGACTCGTCAAAACATTTGCCATTTGTTGTATCATTTGATGCAAATTGGGTTTTGTTTGTTGTGTTTTATGCCGTTTTGATGCCATTAATGTCCAAAACATGTCTATTATGTGTTTGTCTTATTAGTGATGCACTGATGGGCGCATCCATTTCAGGCATTTAGAAAATAATGTCTTTATTATTATTGAGATAATGAATAGATATCTCATTAAAGAAGATGCCATTCATTTGCATTGACTGATAGCGTCTTTCTCTCCCCTCCTCTCACTCTCCCATTTGTATTCATTTGTCAATTTTGATACTTATATTAGCATTAATTTTTAGTTTGTCGTCGTTTGCAGACTATTATCATGAATAATAACTTTTATCCAAATTATTTGACTTTTTTGTATTTTTAATAAAATTTATGAAAACTATTTTTTTCATTTTTTTCACAATCTTTTCTTTTTAACGCTTTTCTTACTATAAATAACAGTATTTTTCGCACATTTGAATGAATGAATGCATGCATTGAATATCATTTGACACTATTTTGTGATTTACTTATATTTTATATATGAAAAATTCTTCACAATCTTTACTCATAAAATCTTTTTGAGATAATTTAAACGCTCCGATAGTTTCTCTTTACACAAGTCTTTTGTCAATTCTTCTTAACTCACAAAAACATTATTCTTGTTTGAAATCATAAGCCATTATTTTATCTATTTTTCGATCACTGAAACCTGTGTTTGACTTTCAACTGAAAATATTTTTTAATTAATTTGTATTTTCCGATAAATTTTAATTAAGAATCTCTTGTTTGAAATAATATGTTTGTAAAATTGTCTTTAAAAACCTCAGTCTCTAAACATGTGTCCAAAAATATAATCAATGTTTGTTTTTTAAACCAATTTTAATAAGAAAATTGTGTAAAAATCTATATATAATGTAAATATTTTTTCATTTCTTTGCCATATTTCTGTTTTTGGCGGTAGAATAACTTCTTATGCATTAATTGATCCATATTTTGAATTTTCTATTTTCTTAATCAATAGTAAACGAAATGAAGTTTGATATGAAATATAACTTAGGAATCAGTTTTTAGTTTTATTTCAATCAAATGTCTACAAATAAAACAACAAATCAAAACTTTATGGTTAACTATTGTTTTAAAAATGCAAAATCAATGAAATTCTACAATTTTGATTAAAATCATAGAAAATATTTATAGTTATGTTATTTACTTTTCATCCAAATTCTGGGTTTATTTTCTAAAATGTCAGTAAAATTTCGCTTTGAATGGAAATTGATTTTTCTCAAACACATGTTTTATATGTCTTATAATGCAATACATAGTGATTGAACATCGATTGAAATTCATAACAAATAATTTTTATGTTTACTTCAAATACTAATGTTATATTCCATACGGTATACAATCTATTCAAATAAATTCCGGATAAAAATTTATATAAATATATATATATTTATGAAAACAGATATTCAAGGAATAAATTTTTGTCGCTATTCAATACAATCAGTGAAAATATGATTTCAATTCCGGATTTAATACAAGCAATGCTGACAATTATGATCATTTGTATCGTTAAATGCTTATTCTTAGCCCCAAAACATTTGACAATCAAATGTATGCCAAACTAAAGCCAGTGTTTGAGTCTTTTGCCCGAAAAACTCTTCTTAAGAATTACTGATTACTAACTATTCGTCTCGTATTGTATTCACAATTCACATGCATTTCATTCTCATTCATAAGCGTAGGCCTAAGGCGTCAAATGAAAACCGTTTGAATACAACATTTGAGTCCAGAATTGAGTGGAGAATTGCTTTTTGTTGAGTGAATCCCATTTCGCGTCTAATATAATAACTGAAGCAGAAATCGCTCATAAAAACAACTTTTGAAGTCTTTTCTTTTATTTCTCGTTATTTTGAAAAACTCAAAAGTACTGCACGTTTAGTACTTAAGCAAAACATTTCAAACATAACTGGTATTAAATGCTTTCAATATGAGTGTAGAGCCAATACATCAGCTATTGATGTGAAAGAAGATATATATTAGTTACAAATCGATCCAAAATATATTATATAACTTATAGTGCAGTGGTTTTTGAGAGCAAAAAAATTTCAATACAATTCTTGGTTTTTGATGAAAGAGTCGATAAAAAAGATAATAATGCAAAAACAAACACTCATTCGTGTGGTTTTGATTGACATTAAATAAATTCTTAGACATTTTATGTTAGAATTTTATTCAATATGATTGTTGTTTCAATTCCCAGACTCCCGGAGCTTATTAGCGGAGCTCGAAATGAATGAAGAGGCGATGCCGTCGATCAAGGCTTCTGTGACGGCCACAAGAGAGCCATACAATAAGCCGATGCCATCCGCTTATTGCGCCCCATATTCTGGTACTGTTTGTCGGCGTTTTATTCCCACCAATTCGTTGGTGTTCTTCAATCTAACCACCGATGACTTCGAAGTTCACATACCGTTGAACGAAATGATTGCTCAAAATCTGTGGACAGAACTGATATCATCGCTTCAGGAGCCGTGTCGTAATGCGGCCGAAACCCTGTTTTGCAGCTATGCTTTCCCGGAGTGTCACTACACACAGGGAGAGCCCGTTAGCAAACCCTTGTGTCGCGAAGACTGCATAGCCGTCAGGGAATCGCTGTGCAATCGCGAGTGGGCTCTACTCGAAGACAACAAACAAAAGGGCATTTTCTTCAAATCTCGCGGACACTTCCGACTCCCGGACTGCGAACAGTTGCCGAGTCATGCGAACCGTACGGACCCGCCCTGTTCTCACGCCAGTCTCACTCTCCTCCAGACAGATCAGGTCACCTATGATTGCGTCAGAGGTCGCGGACGCTATTATCAGGGTTTGGTGAATGTGACCAAAGAAGGCATTCCCTGCCAACGCTGGGACACTCAAGTGCCTCACACTCACAATAGGCCTCCCTTTGTGTTCCCAGAGATTTGGAATTCAGATAACTATTGCCGAAATGCGGGCGGAGAAGAACCACATCCATGGTATGCCTCCCCTTATACAGTATAATCAATACATTATTTGTATAACACTGTGTCTTATGAATGAACAGGTGCTACACATCTGACCCGATCGTCCGTTGGCAACACTGTCACATCCCTTCTTGCGGTAACTATTTGTTCGCCAAATAAACTGCTTATTCATGCGAACAATCGAAACAATTTCTGAGTTTTATTTTAAAATACAATTTTATAATTGAATGCTATTTTAGACTCAGAAGAGATGGCAAACAACGAGACCATTGATCCGACACTAATCGAGATCTTTTCCACTCCACTCCAGTCTAGTTTTAATCCGCCATTAATTCTCATATTGAGCTCAATTGTTGTGTTAATCTTCGGCTGCCTTTTGGTTATAATACTAACTGTTTGTCGCCTTTCATATAAACACCGGAGACGAGGCTATAACGCAGCCCTCACTACAGATGTCGAGATAGACCTAAACAAACTTCCCTCAAATTTTGCTTATCATTCAACTTCTGTCAAATTGAATCCCAAATTAGAAGCTCTCGAATATCCACGAAATGATATCATCTATATTAGAGACATCGGTTCCGGAGCTTTCGGACGAGTCTTTATGGTCTGTATATTACTTATCATTCAACTTCTGTCAAATTGAATCCCAAATTAGAAGCTCTCGAATATCCACGAAATGATATCATCTATATTAGAGACATCGGTTCCGGAGCTTTCGGACGAGTCTTTATGGTCTGTATATTGTATTGTATTATATTAGCACTCAATTCGTTTCATACATCGCTTATACACTTTTAATTCAATTAATTGCTTTTTCACATTTAATTATTTATATTTCGGCCCTTTTGTTGTCAGTAATTAAATTGTATAGTAATTGGGTTTAAAGTTTTTAAGCTAATGAAATGCACAAATATTCATTTCTTTGCATAAATTAAAAGGCGTTTAGTTTCTATTATATTGTAAATTGATTTATTAACAACTATTTTGTGAGGGTTATTGACTCTGGCCGAGCCAAAATGTGACGGTTTGTGTGTGTTGACAGTGGGAATGGTCGTCAACGGTGGGGTCTATCGCCAGATTCGAGGAGGTGAGGGTGTGTGTGGGTGAGCTCGAATCGGGAGACGGACTTATTGACGGTATTGTAGGCCTAAATCTGGAGGACGACAAGGTCTTACCGTTGAATGTGGAGGTGAGTGGATACGAGTGCAGTCAGTGGTGGACGAGGAGTGGCCACTTTGTGGTCGCGACGGATACTCAGGTGGTGTACGGCGTGAATGTGGTGATTGGCGCTACTTTATAGCGACGGTGAATGCTTTGTGTGAGTGGCGCTACTTTTTAGTAGTTGTGAATGAAAAACTCAATTATTTGGGGCGAACGACTGAATTAACCGCTGGTCAACTTTCGAGTGGAATGGACAGTGAAAAGCCGGTAGAACTTTGTGGTCAATGCCTGGGCAGACTCGTGAATACGGTCAATGATATTGCAGACACACGCAGAGTAGCAGAATGCGGTCGATGGTCTCAACAGAGCCGACTCGCGTTTGAAAATAGTGAGTGAGAGTGAGTGAATGAAAGTGACAGCGTTTTGAATTGAATTGGTTTTTATTTGTATTGCATGACTGAACTGAGTTTTGAATGAAAATATACAGTATGTCTTAAATGCAGACATATTTTGGTGTGTGAGTTTGCATGGGTTTTGGGTGACAATTGGTGGGTGAATGGGTTATGTGTGGCGCGAGATTTTGGTGGCAAAATGTGTATAATGTTTTATATAATTAAGTTATGTGTATAATTATAATTACAATTAAAATTACATATGGTTAAACTATAAAAAACATATTCATTTTGTTGCGTTGAATTGAGTGGTGAAATGCGTTGAAATGAGTTGTTTTCATGGGAAGTGATGCCTNTCAAGTCGTTTGGAAGGTATTTTCACAATTCTATGTAAATGACTTGATAGGAAGGCCACATATATATCATTTCTACCAATAAATACATTATCACATAACTTTAACCATCATTTTTCTTATACACCAAATCTTCATCAAATGTTTTATTTCTTAAATCTCTTAACGATTGCATCAATAAATTATGGAAAATATTTACAAATTTATGTTTTCAAAAATACCAATTTCCATAATTTTAGATTACATTAAAACAAATGACACTTTTATTAATAACACAATTAATATATAATTAATTCGGTAAAAACTATATGAATTGGTTTTGCATTAATTGTTTTATAAAAATCCATTCTTTCTTATGAAACCAAAGAATATAACTTTAAATGAATAAAAACTTTATGTTAAATGAAGTGAAATTGAAGTCAAAATAAGTCACTAAAGAGGGAATAAAATGTGAAATGTTTATAATTCAATACTTTATTGATTGATATTTATATTAAATTCCAGTAATAATTAATTGGAATAACATTTATATATATTATAATCATTTGACTGCTTTACAGACAAACACTACAGTAAACTAAACTTTAACTAAATGTAATTTAACTAAATTAATTTGTAAATTATATTATTATATAACTATAATTTTAAATATGTATTATAAAAATTGTAAAAATAAAACTTTAAATAAAATTCTGTAAGATTGCACACAACCAATAGTTCATTTATTTAGATCTAGTTCATTTATATTATTTATTTAAATTATTTAACAATTTATGTAATAAAAAGATGTAATAAAAACATTTTGCCATAAATTTAAAAATTCTTGTTTTTAATAACAGATTTGAATATCTATTAAATTATGACAATTTTTAAAATATTGGTCTGAGTTTTGGATGGATTACACATATTTGGTAAATTTAAATCACAAACTAATTGATTGTGTGTTATCTTTAAACGTAAAAATTGTATATAAAAACATAATGTAATGCTTTGTGTTTATAATAAAAGTTTGCATTTTATTTACAATAAAATGTCGATTCAGTAGAAAACAATGTGAAATACATTAGAAAATTCATTAAATTACTAAAATATTCAACAAATTTTGTGTTATTTACCATAATTTTTAGGGAAAGTGCTTGTCTTATAAAGTGAACAAAAAACTCCTGCAACTCATAAGTCTTTAATTTATTCCTATAATACTTATCACAACTTCCATCAAAACATAATTTATATTTGTTTTATTTCGCAACACAAACTTAATTATAATATTTTTTATTCATTTAATTAAAACCACTTTAAAAAATAAAACTTTTGGTTTAAAACCTATAGAAAATATATAAAACAAACATAAAATTAAAGCTTCATTTGATATCCATCTAAGAATTGTGTGTATTCTGTGTTTTTGTTGGGAAGAGTACTCGTATTGAGAGTAACATTACTTATCTTTTTGGACCACTCCATGAATATAGAGCTGATTCTGCTGTTGAGTGGAGTGGCGTTCAATTCATTGTCCACCTCTGGTGTAGTGACAGGACTGTTGTCGACGACGGGTAGGTTTGTATTGATTTGTACTTTGGATTTAATCACTCGCATCGCACAGTGAACTCGAAAGTGAACTATGGTTTCGAGTAAATACCCGGTGTAGTCATTTCGGGCTCTGTTCAGCCAAACCCGGGCTTCGCATAAATCATCGATTGATAGATAAGTTAATCCCAATTCCATCGCCGAATGCGGTGACAAAAAGGTGTCAAATTTGATCCGTTTCTCACTAATCATAATATATATAATATAGTTATTTAGCATTCAATCCCTTATACGCACAACAAATCAAATGGCATACCATTCAAGCACTTCTTTGAAGCACTGCTGGGCCTAAAAATATCAATTAATTAATACAAATGAAGTGCACAAAGTGTATGAACGAGACATACCTGTAAGGGGTAGCCTAAGAAACGGAAGCACATTCCTCTTAACAACATAATTAAGCCATAATTATCAAGATTTCGGTCCTCGAAATCTATGGCAAACAATAATTTGTTCAATTAATTTGTTTCATTCACTGGTTTTAAATAAATAAAAATAGTTTTTTGCCAACTTTTTTAAACTTAAAAATAATGCACAATTTACAAAATATTAAATCATTAAGCTACTAATTATTCTTTACAATATACTCTAAAGGCATAGAATTTAAAATATCGACACCACTACTTAGCAAAGCAATAAGTAGCTATAATATAAGCAAAGTACTATATAAATTCAAGAATTTTAAATAGCACTTATAGAGATCCTAAAAATATAATCATTAATCATAGAATTAGTATTACGCATAAGAATTGTATTACTCCCATAGGCTTAACATTAGAATATAGTAATACTGTATAATTTTTATGTTGAATTGTACTAAAAATAGAAATATTTAATCTATTACTATATTAAATATAATTAGGAAATGTGATTATTGGTAATCATAATTGTATACTTTTAAGAAAATCAATACAAACAATTATGCAGTAGTTTTGGCTGAGAGATAATCATGCACAATATCAACTCATCAATTATAAATAATGATTAGTTTCACAAATGTGTCAAAGTTTTCCCTATAATTAAATTTATGGATTGTGTTTTTCATTTAGAAATTTAAGCCTAACTTATATTTCAATCACTGAAATGCACTCACATTTGAAATTTAAAGAAACGATTCAATTTGCATCTCAGGTGCCTTTAAATACACTTTCAATACATACTATATTTAATCGATTGCTATAAATACAAACGATTGTATCTATGATTTCCGCAAAATTATAATAAATTTAGTTATTATTAGTTTTCTATTTTGATAATAGTTTGGATTTAGGATAATATATTCACATCAATTTTAATATGCATTGAAAAAATTGTAAGCATTTCTTTAAAAAACTTAATATTTAGCAAATATTTTGGTTAATAGCTTTCAATTTGAAAATATTTAGAAATGGCAAAATTTGATGTAAAAATAGGTCATATAAACAAACCTTTATCGTCTTTGTGTTCATCCAAAGCCTTATCAATCCTTTCTAATATAGGAGTCAATAGTTTTGGTGAATTTCCGATCGCAGCGAATATATTCCATATATACAAAAATTCCTGTTTTCAAGAATTAATTATTTGTAATATAAATACAATATATTCTATGTTTAATACATACTAAAGCAGGCAATAAAAGTGTATTGTTTTGAGCGAAATATTTCTCGGACTGAGTGATGGCAAACTTTTCCGCCGGAACTGTTTTGCCCGCATATCTAATCTTCAATTTGGGTACAGTTCTTGTCGTCCAAAATAATATATATAAACACTTATTATAACAATAGATAAAATGTCAAACAATGGAAAGTTACCTCAATAGATCTTCAATTTGATCATTGAGTTGGTACTGCTTTTCTTCAATCATAATCATGTATAGGAAAGTGGCGTATTGGTAGGTATATGTCCCTGGTGACCATTTGCACTGTCGCCGCAATATATCCGCATATTTGGCTGAGTTATGCCAATCGCACCGAACACTAGTCAATACTACACTGTATTTACTGAATATATTTATGGCTAAACTTACGAATGACACCACAATAGCTCCCAATAGCAGATATTGTGGAATTGTTTCCATTCGTCTTGAATTTCAATGCATTTCTTGAAATTTTTCACTGCCTTTTGGTTTAGATATAATAATAATAATTGTAATAATAATAAACCAATAAATTCATAAAACTAAACGATTTATCTAAATATATAGCAAACCTCATCAATGTTTCCTCTTAGCTGTTCCAGTCTTCCCAGGAATAAGAGGAAGAATGCGCTCTAAATATATTGATAATATCAGAATCAGGCAAACAATATGTGCAAATTGTATGACATATAACAGAATACATACATTTGGATATACTTTTAAACAATAATCCAATAAATTTTCGACACAATCCAGATCTCCTTCTCCTAAACCTATTAATTAAGAAAATATTTTTATATATTAATTTGTGATAACATAACATAGAAAATTTTATATTAATATTAAAGTATGGGTTATATTATCAAACAAATCACATTATTAAAAGTAAAATATTATAGATATAATAAAATGTTTTAATTTACCAAAAATGTGTTCAATGTATGTTTGATAGACAAGCATAATAAGGGCAGCCAATGGACATCTGAGGCCATCAGTCATTTGTGTTGACTGCTCTAATTCGGCAAACCCTTGAGCCCTATCACCAGAAAAGCCCACAAATTCAAGTAATTTCAGCACTTTTGATGGCATGTGTGAAATCATCTAAAAGTAATTAAAATACTGATCAATACTGAAATATTTGTACTATTATTTAAATTATGTCAAAACTCATTAAACATTCACTTATTTCTATGACTTAATTAAAGAAAAATAACTGCAAAATAGAGAACAAACCAAATTGAAAGTTCCAATTCCCATACGAACGCCACTTTCAAAATGCATTCTGGTCGTCTCACTTTGCCATTCGGTTCGCGTATTCAATATATACATGCATTCCCTATAAAAACAAAAGCGTTAATAAAGTTTTGCCGAATAAAAGGGTATAGATATAAAAGATGGGATAAGAGATGAGTGCATCACTTGTATGATTGATAACAGGTGCGAATACGAAAGGCTCCCTTAACCAGATTTATTAAATTCTGGTCCTCAAGGAATGTAAGCAATGCAGTCATTAGAAGCGCCTCTGCATAACACAACTCGGCGTGAATTTCCTCTGTTTTGGACAAAAATGTGCGCTTTTTGTTAGAGTAATGAGAGACAGATAAGAGTTTTATATACTGTTAATTACCGTCACTATAATAGTTGTAATTTGGACGCCAAACAACTCGAGTAACACTCGATCTTCTCTTTTGATAACAGATATCAATACAGTTTCGTAACGCATCCATCGCTTTCTGGATCTCAACCTTCAAAACAGTTCAATAGTTATTTTTGATCCAAAAATTTAAGTTAATTATTAGAGTATAAATGTGTGTTAATTGAGTGCATTTGTAATTATAGTTAAATTCTGATATATATTTATTGTTGAATCAAATGAGAGGAATATATAGTAAAGTACCCCTTTTCCTGACGGCTCTCATTATATCTCATATAATTTATTATATGACAAAAAACTACAGAATTAAACAATTGAACGAATGTTGAGAACATTTGCGTTGATTTAATCATACATTACATTAAACATTAAACAAATACAGAGAATAAATTAAATTTGCTATTAAAAAATAAATGCCTATAAAAGTAAAAGCAAAACAAATGATATAATTAGTGGAGAACTCACTCTTTCTAATGTGAGGCATCCCTTTAGGAAACTTAGGCATCCCTTTCCGAGCGCATGATATAGACTCTGATGAGCCCTAAATTCAAAATATTTGTCATGTTTTAAAAAATCATTAATATTTATAAATTGTATTTTATTTAAGTATTGAGTGGAAAGAGAAAAGAAAGAGATTTAAGAGCTATTTTGTTAGCACATAGAGTTGTGTTCACTACAGTACTGATAATCATGTAAGCTATAAATTACTACACTTTCCAATACATTATTGAACATGTTAATTTATGCCATTTTCCCGCAATGTGAACAAAGTTATGTTTTGTTGTATTAAATTTTATAATATAACAGTAAGAAAAAGTAATATTTTACAGCTTTTGTATAATATAACAGAATTTATTAGAAAAGATATAACTAATAACTAATATATCATAAAATCATCAATGCTTTGACATGTGGGAAATGCAAATTCTATAAAATGTTAAAACATTGTTCTGGTAATGCATTTTTGTGTAATTAAATGTCTTATTCAAAACTACTTAAAAAGTAAGAATTTATTGATTTTCAATATTGAATTTTGTATAAATGGTTAAAATTTAACATATTATTAAAGCGATAGCCGGAAATTATGTGAAAACAATACAAAAATGAGTTGCAAACCATTTATCACATAAATCCAATGCTTCATGGAATCGATTGTTAAGAGCCATTGCCAATAGATTTACCACTTCCTCCAGTGATGTCTCCAAATCTGGAGGATTTGAATCCATTCTGAATTGTAGGGCATTTCAATGCATTAATACACTAATCAAATACTGTAAAAAATAATTGCAAAAAGAGAGTTGAAATTAAGCCAACTTCGATATATCTGCCGTACAGTCCGTCCAAACTTCCGAGTCCTGCAAATAAATTCGTTATATTATTCTTTGCGTTCACTTCTTATGAATTTATTATATATTTTACAATATATTCAGTCAATTTCTGACACTT